TATATATATATATATATATATATATATATATATATGTATAAACCTGTACAGACTCACAGCCTCTGGCGTGGTTTGTAAGATATAGAGGCCCCAGTATACAAGAGCGGGAGAAAGCACTAATAAAATATTCTGCGTAGCTGTATTTACCCATCCTTTTTATCTCTCTATATAATAAAATTAAAATTAAAATTAATAATAAAATAAATATTAATAATATTAATAATATAAATAAAATAAATATTAATATATGTTGCAGTAAGGGAGAAGAAAGCTCCGTCTCTGGCTGTCCCCTCGCTAGCTGAGCAGCATGCACAGGCAAAATACATTTTTTCTCTATTTAAATATTTTTGCTGCTGCTGCTGCTGCTGCTGCTACTGCTGCTGCTGCTGCTGCTGCTGCTGCTGCTGCTGCTGTTTTGGTTATTGTGAGCTGCGGAGACACCGCAGCGGTGGTGTGTGGCGGCTCTCGGAGCGGCAGTTGCTGCATGCTATCTTCATCGATACAGAAAAAAACAGCTAAATATTTTAAAAAACAAATAAATATAATTCAAATATACTTTCCTATTCTCCTCTCACCATGCAGATACCCCGAAGCAACCGCATACACCAGGCCCCCCCCCCCCCCCCCCCCCNGGGGGGGGGGGGGGGGGGGGGGGGCGGGGCTCGTTGCTGCTGCGGCTGCACGGAGAGTCCTTCTGTTTATCTGTACGTAACTAAAAAAAAGAAAATTAAAAAAGTTTATTGCATGCACACATGCCTTCTCCGCTTGTATTCTCTATATATATATCTGGGGCTGTATAGCGGCCTCAGCAGCTGCTTGGGGCTGATACGAGGAGAGACAGCAAACCCTCGGGGGGAGCGTTCGTTCTCTTCAGCTGAAATTAAAAAAAAAGTTTTTGCTGTTTACATCGAGTACGGATAGATAAGTAAATACTCAACCACTTTCTAAGGTACCCCTGCATGCATGCATGCATGCATGCATGCATGCATGCGTGACTGTATGCATGCATGCGTGCCTGTATGCATGCATACATGCATACGTTCCTGTATGCATGCATGCATGCATGCATGCATGCATGCATGCATGCATGCATGCATCAAAGGGGGGTTAAAGTGTACCTGCAGCTTCGCGCGAAATGCAGCAGAAGATACAGCAAATGTGCTGCAGCAGACAGCCTGCATGCAGTGCACCCCGCGGGCGCAGCAGCTAACCCAATGGGATTAAACCCTTGTTTCTAGACCCTAAACCCTAAACCCTAAACCCTGAGTCTCATCCTCTTGTTGAGTTGCTTATACTATATCAGGGTTTAGGGTTTAGGGTTTAGGGTTTAGGGTTTAGGGTTTGGTGAGAGTGGATACATCATGAGGTGCAGCAAACCACAAGACACCAAATTTGCATGCAAGCTAAACCCTTTTTTTTCTGCATGCACACACTATGGAGCCAATTGCTGCTGCGTCTGCCTGTGGGTGTGTATAGTAATCCTTGTAATATATACAAATATATATATATATATATATATATATATAACACAATGCGTATGCATTATATGCATTATATATATATATATATATATATATANTATATATATATATATATATATATATACATATATATATGTATGTTATATATATATATATATATATATATATATAGCTGTTCATAGCATTTGCTGTATATAACCTTTTCCAGTTGTTTACAAAAAAAGAGAATAAATATATAATATTTATATATTAATTAATACATATAATTATATAATATATATTAAATTATATAAAATTATATAATATATATTAAACTATATAAAATAAATAAATAATAAAAAGCTGCTGTGTGCATGCATAGCACACCGCAGCAGCAGCAGCAGCTGCTGCTGCTGCTGAGCTGAAACGGAGAGAACGGGGGAGTTTTTTGTATAAAAATAAAAATAAAATAAAAAATAAATTAAATAAATTAAAATAAATTAAAATAAATTAAAATAAATTAAAATAAACTGACAAATACAACCATATGAAGGCACCAGTGGACCACTGGCTGCTGCTGCTGCTGTTGGTGCTGCTGCTGCTGCTGCTGCTGCTGCTGCTGTGCTTTTGCTGCAGTTACTGCTTTTGCTGCTGCTGCTGCTGCTGCAGTGAAATAAATAAAAAATATAAAAATAAATAAAATAAAATAACATTTTATATTAAATAAAAAAAAATAAAAAAGTAAAACAAAGCAATAAGGGTTTGTGTTTGTGTCGGCGGTGGGGGCCCCCCTCTGTTGCTGCTGC